TTTTTTTATTCCGCCTTATCTTTTGTGTTTAATAYTTTTCATGTTATCGAATAATGATAGAGAAAATTAAGAGCGTGAACTTTTAATCCATTAGTTTCTTTTAAGAAACTGCTTTGGATAAATGTAATAATACCAACAATGTTACTTTTAGCATAGTGTTCTCATTCTTGCGAGCGGGGGTATCCACAAAAATACGCGATACAAATGTATCCGTTTATGTGTMGAAAAGACCTTAGGTCCATCAAAAACTATGATTTGCAATGTGGTTTAAGATTTTTCATATTCAGAAAATATATCTGAATTTACATTACGGATCCGCTTCAATTAGTTAGTTTTAAGATAAAATCTCGCAATATCTCAATTCATAGAGGATAAAGGGATAATAAAGAGTAAATTTGTCGCTTATATTACGATGTATTTTGATTCCCGATACAAGCACGTGAATCATGCTAGTTAATTATTGCCTTGTAATCCATGAAAATGTTCATTTYTGGCAGAATTATGAAACCGAAGAAGAATCATTCAAAGATACCAAAGAGACAACAGAGAAACCATGCATTTGGCAGGTTTACAACTCACAGGTTGGTGAGAACCGTGAACGTTGATTCTCGTATGGTAAAGAGTGCTCCAGAAGACAAAATTGCCCAAAATCGCTCAAAATTATATTTATAACATTTCGGCAGCGATTTTTAAAAGGTCAAAATTAAAAGGTCAAAATTTACTATAAAATCGCTTAAAATCGCATAAAGTCGCTCAAAGTCAAGACGACTGCAATTTCTTCCAAAGTAATTTAAACCTTTAATACGAAACTAGAAATTTTTACAAGAAGAAATGATATGAGAGAGTGATTTTCCGCTTTTTGTTTAACCATCTGTTTAATTAACTTACTATTTTTGAGATATTAGTTTGTTTTGCTTTAAGGTGACCGAGGTAAAGGAATCTGAGTTTTTCAAGTTCTACAACAACCGAGCGTACATTGTTTTAGCCATGGAAGAAAAGGATACAATAAGACCGGTAAAACATAAAGTAAAATGACACTCTTTCCCTATGACATTCAGGTCACGATTGTTCAGAGTTTGCAGGGCTGTAGCCAGGGTGAATGGACAACCGAGGCAAGCAACCGCCGATGGCGGGAGAAACTAGGGGGGGTCTGGGGGCATTCTCCCCCTAGAAAATTTGAAATTCAGTCTCTCGGAAATGTAAGTTGCAGCGTTTTGTGGGCCTTTTGGTAACGCTTTATTGAACAGATTTAACCGGAATTCATCATGCAATATTTATGAAACAAAGAAGCTACACGTACAAAAATAACATTATTTTTATATTTTTTTGCACAAAATCAGTCGTGCGAAATCGGCTCTGAGAGGCTAAGATAATATTAGTGATGAAGAACAAAAATCATCGGCAAAATTTTACCGAGGCGAGTGCCTCGGTTGGCCTCTTACTAGCTACGGCCCTGGTTTGTGTAGTGTTTGGAAGGGTGGCAAGGGTGGCCTAGTGGTTAAGCTGCTGGCCTCTCACCGCTGTGGGCACGGACCATATGTGAGTTTGAGTTTGTTTGATGTGTTGTTCTCTCCCTTGCCACGAGGGTTATTCTCCGGGTCCTCCGGTTTTCCTCCCTCAACAAAAATCAACATGTGAGGAGTGTTTTGTGCTAAAATACTTAATGTAGAGGTAGTGAGTGTGAGAGTATAGAGAGCCACAAGTTCATCAGTTCTTTACTAGCACGTGTTTACCCTCTTAAAAAAACAAAGTTGGTTGATTTGATTTGATTGAAGGAGAAACACCCCTCACATAGTACATTAAAAACTCACATTGGACTCAGTTGACAACAATTTGAAAAATGTCGGATCAATTCAAATTGAGAGCCACTTTACCTTATACGTAGCTGGATGGCAGGGCTTGGTTTCTGTCTAAACTCGATCTTTCCCAGTCTATTATCACTTATCTCACAGATTCAAGATGGAGTACGCCCTCGTATAACCAAATAAAAAGTGACGTCACGTCAAACGATTGAAAAAAGCCTGGAGACGAGACCAGTATCTGTCGTGTCCTCTCTTTGATCCATCCCCAGGGCCCTGCTCTTCGCTATTTTCAAAATGGCGGACTTTTGATTCTTTTTCTGTTATTGTTGTTGTTTCAGGAGGGATTTCGCAATCTCCATATTTGGGTATCAAAGTATTGTCATCGACAGGACTATGAGCTGGCTGTAGCTCGAGCTGATCAGCTCTCAAAAATGGTAATAAGTATTTCATGAAATATCGGTTATGCTGTGGTCAGCGGTTTGTTACTGTGACGTCAAAAAGTTAGCCTGAAAATAGTGACGTCACAACAACAAACCGCTGACCACTTTACATTCACATAAGAATTGCATTCGACACATGAGAAGTTCGTCATATAACCAAGGCCTTATATTCTATGAGAAATTAACGCGCTTGGCGGCTATAGGGGAGGGGAGAGGGGAGGGGAGAGCCGCCAGGCTTGTAAGTAAGGAAAAAAATTCACATGATGCACTTCCAATAAAATGTGCGCCCGCGGTCAGAATTTCTTTCAATTCATATGAATGTATAAGAAAAGTG